TTTCCTCATGGGGGAAATATACGTTTTGGACACTTCACACAGTTAATTTGAGATATTTAGAAAACCACTTTATTTACTTGTTAATATACGGCGGGTCCTACTAGATGGGAATGAAACGGTTTTGTAAAAGTCTTCGTATACATAGTTATACCACCATGAATATTCATGGTTTTAATTTTCTTTTGCAAAATTTAAATTTATAACTTGAAGTTCATGACCGTAATTTCATATTGTTTGTATGCGTATCTGTTTTTCAATTCAACACTAACAATATGTTCTTCTAAGGTAACGCTAGAATGTTTTGGAAAATATTGGAATTATACGCCTGTATTATGCACATAGACAATGTTGATTAATTGTAAAATGCAAAATAATTAATAATTTCATCAAATATTTATAAATTTTGCATGTGTGTATTAAGCATTTTTTTCTGATTTGTTTCACCCTGTATATACTAGTAACAATCATTTAACAAAGACAATGTTGGTGTTTTGTTAAACAAAAGCAGCTTTCTAATAATCACTCGAGTTCCTATTGTTTTTTTTAAATGTCAGATTCTGTAGTGACACACTGTATATTTATACCGGTATTTTATATATTAATATTTTTTGATTGATTTAGTAAGTACATAATATTTTCTGGTACTTTTTCGTCTTATTAAATTGATTCATTAGTTTTAGGGAAGTAAAAATTATAATTAAACGACCATAACGTATAAAATAAAATTTAATATCATTAATATATACACAGCTATTTACAGGTAATTCTTTTCGAGACCAGCAGTACAAACAAATTCGACGTTAAACGGTCCCCATTATAAATTATTTTACAAAAATTACAAGTCATTTTTTATGCTTAAGACAATAGGCTTTCCATTTTGCTTCCGCTTTAGGTATAAAAGAATCCTAAAAAATCCACTAACTTAAAAAAAACACACACTAACAAAATCGTCAACGTGATAGCACTAATTTAAAACATCTCATCTTTTAGAAACCAACATTTCATAACACTTTCTCTTCTATCTCCGCCTGTCTTTCGATCTGTCCCTGTTCTTAGACTCTTCTTCCCTATGTTTCGACTTTTTGTACTTCTCCTTTTCATCCCTACTCGCATATTTTTCCCTATCGTCCCTGTACTTTTCATCTCTGTACTTGTCCTCCCTATATTTATCTTCTCTGTCTTTTTCATATCGTTTGTCCCCCTTATCGTGTCTATCCTTCTTCTCACCCTTCTCGTCGTATCTATCCCTATCCCTTTCCTCTTTAATCACGTACCTATCTCTATCGTATCGATCGTTTTTGTCGTATCGATCGATATATCGATCGTTCTTCAAGTCTTTCTCGTTGCTAATTGACCTTGACCTTCTTTTATCCCTGTAAATAACGAAATGAGACATCAAAACAATCGGCACCAAACAAATTAATTAAAAATTAAAAAATAACTAAAAATTTGTTTTGTCAAAAGACAAATAAAATCTCTTACCTTCCTTTCCTCGACTTGTTGTGGGGACTGTTACTGCGGGACCTGGAGTAGCTACCCCTTTTGTGTTTTTTGTGGTTTCTGGGACTCCGACTTCGAGAACGTGCGTGCTTTTTGGAACGTTTATGGTGTTTAGAGACGGGAGAAATGGTCCCTGATCGGGACCGGGACCTTTTTTCAGTAACGGACGGAACTATATGGCTACCGGAACGGCTGAAATTAAATAACTCATTTAATATTTATTTTATTCAAGTATATAGTTTATTGTCCAAAAACAGTATCCTGAAAACGTTCCGTGTGTATATTTAAATCGTACAATTAACATAATCTAGTGTATTATTCTGTATTAGGGATTTGGAATTTAAAATTTAAAATAGTGACGCGAATTCAATGTAAGAATGCACCCTTATTAGCAATTTCTCATTGTGTAAGCGTTAACGGTTCACGGTCACGACTTCTAAACAACAAAAACAACTCGTGAAAAAATCCATTAAATCCACTGGCAAGACACAAATATAAAACGATAACGAGCACAAAATACCTTATGAAACCACCCCATGCGTTATGAGCGCCTGAAGTTTTCTGGGAACTGGGACTGGAAGGACTATTGTTATTAGGTGTGTTATTCCCTGATCCTCCACGAGCCTTTATTTTAGCCTCTTGGTACTTTTTCACCAAATCTTCCACTTTTTTCTCAAGGGCATCCACATTTATCTAGAAAAAACACAAAATAAAATACATAAGACGAATTTAGGCCCCTTGAAGGTCTATTACACTCGTTTAAGACTACTTTACAACTAATATATAAGACAAATTTCTTGTCCCAAAAACCTCCCATTAGTCATTTATTTTCTTTTTACAGTTTTACTCACTTTAGGTCTGGTGTAAAGCTTCAATATCCTGACACAGACGTCTCTGATGTCTTCCTCGGTAACTCCGAAGAGGGAGTACCACGCGGGGTTCTTTGGCAACGGTAGTTTCAGCTTCCTGGCGGTCAAATAGATACAGGCGCACGCCACTGTCTCAGGCTGATACCTCACAAAAACATCTGTACGAAGGGAGTCGTTCATGTAATTCCAGGAAAACTGCATCAACTGTTGGTGCTTTTCGTAGCCCAGGACTTGCAGGTACATTACGATGATCTAAAGGCGTAAAAAGAGGAAACAAATATAAAGGTCCTAGAAGAGACTGTTTCGGGATTATTTGCAACAAAGTCTGAAAGCTACTAAATTAAAGAATTGCCCAAAGAATATTTTGATTTTAAAGATTTTTTTTAATTCCATTTAAATGATACAATTTTCACAATTGGTTTCAAATTTGATAAAATAATCCTAAAACACTCTGTACTTTTATAATTCGTTACTAAAACGTCAATAACATTTAAATATAATTGACCAAAAAAGCAAGCTAAATATGTTAATCTATTAAGCAACTGAATTTACTTTGTGGGGATGCTTAATGTGAACACAGAAACCCAGTTCCTTCAGGACCCTTCGTTCAGCCTTGATGACCTGATTTTTGAGTTGGATGTAATTCTGATCCAAAATGACGGGCGTTATGGGCCTGTTTGAAACAGAAAGAAACAAAAAAGACATGTTAAAATTAAATCTCTCCATTTTTCAAAGGGATTTAATCTTAACACGTCACAATTTTTTGATTTCATCATCTCTTTCGAAAACCTTTGTGAATGTAATTTGGAAGAAAAACGTCCAACACGTTATGATACCTAACACAATTAATCGGCCAGTAAATTAATCTTAATCGACACAACACTATCTTAAAAATAAGAAATGGTGGTAAAACTTTCTAACTCAACTTTGTTTCCAAATTACACCTCAAAGATTACGTTACATTATCAATATAATGAAGCATAACTGCAGATATTATGTTTTTTTTGCTTTCGTTTCAAAAATTTAACCACCACTTTTTAATTACGTTACCTGCACCTTACGGACGTGGAGGGGGAGGCTATATTTTTACCTTCGTTTACGTTGCTCTACCCTTCGGATACTGCCAAAGATTTTTATTTATTATTATTGCTTCTTGTTTCGCGCTGTAACATCTACAACAGAATTACTCTGGTTACTAGTAAAATTTTCAATAACGAATATTTCATTGAGGAAAATGGGATAAATCTTTTTTTAATGGCAGGCAACGGCGTAGCAGGCACAATTGCGCAGTTCATCTTCGTCTTCGATCGTTCTTTCCACGTTAGCTTTTCTCTCGAACTCTCGTGGGGATCTCAAAAAGTCCCCAATGCATGACTCAATTATTGATGACTTGTAAAAGAGAGGGTTTGCTAACACACTCTAATTATAAGCAAATTTGGTATAAGCTTCTACAAGTCGTCAATCTCTATTAAGGCAAAAAATTTGACAAAACGACTTGTGTCAAAATTGTTTTGATAATACTCAATCTTAGCAGATAATATTCAACAGAAATTAACATTAACATAACAGTTTTGAACATCTTCTAAAAAAAATAATGGTCTCAAAATCTAACGAGATAAACAATTTTCTCTTAGACAACTTTAAGTGTTTAGTTTCTTTTACCTCAGGATTAAGGACAAATCCATCCTAAGTTACACTTATCGTTAATATGTTTCAGTTTGAGATTATAAATTAAAGCATACAATAAATATGAGTAAAATGCCTCTGCCAGGGGAACAGCTATAGTTTCATACAATTTTTTTAAGTTAATAATATTAGCACTTGTTTTCACTTAAAATAAAGTAGAAGTTGCACTGATTTATGAATAAGAAATATGCATTACATTTACAATTATTTTTNCCATAATATCTCTGAAATTTAAGGGTGAATAGTAAACCTAAAAAAGAAAATAATAAAATGAACTCATAATCAGCTCCATTCGATTTTGGGAATGTTATTAGCATTACCTGTATGGGTATTTTTTCTGGGTTGTTAACTTTATCAACTTTTATAGATCCTTCAATCCATCTTAGACTAGATAAATCACCCCTTACAAGTGTGTTGACGTAGGAATGATCGGCCTCGACGAGGACGTTCTCTTCCAAGGGCAAATGCCTGTAAGTTCCCCACTTACCGTCTTTGTGGATGTTTACAGCTAAATTTTTCTTTAACTGGTTCCTGTACAATTGGCTGTTGATGTCAAACTTTGGCGCGTCGTCAGCAATGAAAACGCATCTCACATTTTCGCCACCCGGCTCCCTTCTTATACAGTTCACCAATCCTATTACTCCACTTAAGGGTTCATTTTCGGCATAAACAATCACAGCTTTGTCACTCTTCACCGCTTCCTGCAGTTCAATGAGCCATCCGAAGGAATCGGTATCGCTGGACACTTTTACCACTACGGGGGATGATTTTGGGGAAACGGTTTTTCTGAGCAACACCAATTTTTCTGTTTCTGTGGTATGAACAGTGAGAATGGTCAAATCGTTTTGGCCAACAACAGCTGCTGAAGGATCAAAGGTCAAATCTTCTCTAGACAGAAGGAAACCGTTCTCCTTAAGGGCAGTGAAAGAATTCTTGACTACCTGGAAATACCGAATCGTATCTTATAGATCATAACATCTCGAATATTTTCTGCAAATACCTCTGGTCTGCTTAATATATTGGTAGCAACCACCAGTGCACAATTACTTTCCAATTCCAGTTTCTTATCTTCAACAGTTGCATTGTTTACGGTAAGAGTTTTGTTTGACAGTATAAGCATTTCTGGTTGTATAAGGGGTTGATTTCCCAAAACGGTGTGTATGGTTGGTGCAAGAGGTTCTGCTTCTTCTTTCGTGGCATCGTCGTGCAGTTCGACCACTTTGATTTTGATCCCGTAGTTGTTTTCTAGTAACAGTTGCATATTAACTGTAAGCGATTGGAAGGTTGTTAAGGTGGTTTCGTTGGGGATGAATTTGTATGTTTCCAAAACAGGCTCTCCCAAAGGCTTCCTCCTTGGTATACTGTTTGCCCTTAGACCACGAATTTCAATACCACCGGACCTAACAAATATATCGTCACACAAAAATTTATTATAACAGAATCGAAGGCTTACTTGACAATATTGGCATCTTGGTAGAAGTAAACTGGTAAGGCAGGTTTTTCGCCAGCTTCTTGCAAACATTGGACATGCCTTCGGGCATCTATGATAAGCCTTTCGATTCCCGTCGGAACGTAGAGGTTTCTGGTGTCCATGTTCAAAATGGGTAATTGTAACATGTTGTCCATGAATGCTATGTAGCTTCCGTTCCACGCTATAACTCCTTTGGAACCGGTGTTGTCACAACTTTGTAAAGCCCGGAATTGACCTCTGCAAAATTAAACCCAATTGTTTTAGTCAACCACATAGAGAAAAAGCATCCCCATTACTTATAGTGATAGCCTCGCAGTTTCAGTTCTTTATAAATGTCTTTGGAGTTCAACGCCAGCATGTCACTACCAGTTGCTCCAGCCGGAATTGGTAGTTCTGTCACCTCTTTGGTGACGTCGTCCAGTCTTGCTACTCGTCCCGTTACCACAGCAACACCTCCTTCTATAACCTGATTAAAAATCCCGTTGTTATGAAAACGTTATTCTAACAGGAACGTTGTTATCGTACCTCGAAGTTTCCACTAGCCTTCTGGATCATCACCAGCATTTCTAAACTGCCCCCTTTGGGAATGTTAGTAGCCCTGCTGAACCTGACATTTTCGAAAACGATTTGCATGTCGGACATCAGCATCCCCAAAACCATGGCAAGGGTTTCCCAAACAAGATTTAGATATCCAGTTGCAGGGAAAAGATTTCGACCTGGAACGTTTCATTTTATAAAACGTTTCGATGGACTAAAGGATTCTTTTTTTACCATCAATAACGTGACCTGTTAGGAAAGACCATTCGACTTCGTTGACGTTAAGCGAAAGGACTCTTTCGCCGCACTTTGCACTATCCTTGTCGTTGTAAAAACTAACGTGCCAATCTTTCTCGTGCTCCCACTTCATTAGAGGTGATAGCATTGGGGTGCCTCTGCTTACTGGAAACTGAACTGTAGGGTATATTTTGTTCGGTTTAGGATCGACGCCGAATTCGAACAATCTAAAATTACCAAAGCCACATGAACCCGTTTCGCCAACTCTATATGTCTGTACTTACCTTCCAACTACTTGTAAAAAGTTTACAAGGTTTTTGCCCTTTGTGGAGTGCGAAAACACTTCGATGATATCTATCTCATCGGCTTGGCCCTTTATAGACAAATATTTGGCTATTTTTCCGTCGGTGATGTCTAAAATAACGGCCCTCCTTTTAATGTAATTGGTGATGTTGCCGATTTCGCCTGGATGGAAAAGTGCATTTGCAAAATACTCGGGAGAAATTTGATTTCCGTTTACGTCCTTTTTGCTCAAGGATTGAGCCGTTATCCACTTTCCTGAAGGTTTTATGCTTTGGGGGAGGATTTTTCGAAGACTTTGAACCACCGAATCTCCTGAAAGAAACATTACATCTAGTGCAAAATTCTTACAATTATTATTGCAAATATTTTTTACCTTTCAATGCTTGGCTCTTTTCCGTTGCGCCATCAAGATATAGCACAGCATGGGCACTCGACAAAACCTGCTGGAACGTTAGCACGCCATCGCAATATGCCGCTGTGAGCTCTCCCAACGATACTCCTACGATATAGCTGGATTCTATTTCCAAAGTCCTAAACAAGTCCACAACTCCTAATTGTACTACCAAGCCCCCTAAGAGGGTTAACTTTTCGGGAAAGCTGGCGCTAGTGTTCATTATGACATCAGTAATGTTGACGTTCTTTTGGTTGAGCAGATCGTGGGCTCTGGAAATTTAAGAATCAATTTGGAAGAGATACCAAACGATGAAAAAAGAATTTACTTTTGTATGGTCGCTGCAAAATGCGGAAGGGCAAATAATTCCCTTCCTACCTCCAACCAGTGGGATCCTGGGTTTCCGAAAACGACGTACAACGGTCTTTTGATCTCATCGAATTGCTTAATATCGCTTGAAATTTCACCTGATTTTGCTAAAATCGAGTATCCTCTGCATTTGAATCCAGGAATATGATCTCTTCGAGAAGATACAGGAATTATCATTTCTGACGCGTGACAAAATATATTTGGATTACGACTTACTTGAATGCTTCGTTTAGAAGGGCCACGTATTCGGCATCCAGGGGGCGAGATCTCAAATCTTCCACAAACATCTTCAACGCGTATTGATTTCTCCCATTCAAACACACCAGTCGAGGAATGTCGTCTTTTGGCAATCCGTTGTTCACTTTGACCTTCTGATTGCAGCGGAGAAGGATGTGACAATTCGCACCACCAAAACCGAAACTGTTGACTCCTAATTAATGCATGATACTTAGTAGTGGATTGGTTACATTGGAGAAACAGGATTACCCACCTGCCAGTCCCGTTTTATACGGCCAGGGTGTTTTATCCGTGACGACGACCATCCGTTTCTGTTCCAAAACTTCAGCCCCTTCTCTCGGTTCCGTGTAATTAATATTGGGAGGAATATACCCATTCTCCATACCAATAATAACCTAAGACAGATCAATTTTTTTAAATTGACCCTATGCCTACCAAGACATTTGCTTCCAAAGTACCTTGACTATCGAGCACATTCCCGAAACGGGTTCAGTGTGTCCCAAATTGGATTTAACCGATCCGACGGGTAATGGAGTTTTCCTGTTGGTGCAAAAAATTTGATCGAGAGCCGATAGTTCTTCGGGATCTCCAACTTTCGTTCCTGTTGCGTGCGCTTCCAGGAAATCCAACGTGGTGGGATCCACCTTGCATTCTTCGTAGAATTCAATCAGGAGTTGTTTCTGATCGGCGCCGGAAGGGTACGTTATTCCCTGTTCTTTGAAACCGTCGCAGTTTGTTTTGGCATGCACCACCTGAGCGTAAATCCTTCGGGAATCTTTGGCCCGTTGCAAGAATATGGCAGCTATCGATTCGGATCTCACGTAGCCGTTGGCGTTCTTGTCGAAAGATTTGCAGGAGCCGTCTTTACTGAGCACTCCTAATCTGGATAAACGATATAAGTAGGTACATTTCCGAGAGTATATTACGAAATAATTACCGAGCGAACTGCAAGGACACGATAGGATGAAGACAAAGATTGGTACCACCAACAATTGCAGAATCACAAGTACCCTCCCTAATCGATCTGTAAGCATATTCCAGTGCGTAAGATGAACTACTGCACGCGGTATCCACGGTGAAAGACGGACCTTCCAACCCCATAAAGTAACTAATTCTGTTGGCCAACATCGATCTCGAGCAACTTTAACGAGGAACAGAAAAAGCCTTGAAAAAGCCTTCTATTTTCTTAGAAATAAATAAATTACCCAGTAACTGCATAACTATCTTCTTGTAGTCGCTCGTAAAACCAAGTTTTTTCGGTTTCTGAAAAGCAAGCCCCTATGAACACGCCCGTTTTCGTGCCCCGCAGTTCCTTCGGATTAATGCCCGCGTCTATAATGGCCTCGAAGGCCCTTTCAAGAATCATACGGCACATGGGGTCCATAGAATTGACTTGTCGGTGGTGGATTCCTTGAAAACGGAAAGGATTAATACTGGTAGATCTTCATAGGGAGGGGAGGGGGTTATCGTATTTTTCTTTACCTACCGAAAAAACCAGCATCAAATTTGGTAATATGGTTAACTTTCCCGGTTCTGTGAGGTACTTCGGGATGATTGGGTTCCCATCTTCTGTTGTCAAACGAAATCAAGTCCACCTTATTGTACAAATTATCCCGAAAATGATAAATATCATCGGAGTCGGGAAACCTACCCGCGACACCTGCGAATTTTTGTTTTAAATTGTTGTTCTAATAAAAATTTAAACGTCGGTGGCAGGAATCGTACCTGAAATAACAACTTCATCCCCTGGAAGTGGATGAGCTAAACGGGTCCCAGCCAAAAGGGATCGTTCTTTTGCCTCTTCGTCGGGGTTTAATTTTTGACCTTCCGCGTTACTCAAAACAACCATTGTCGCTGAAAATCCAAAGTTTTACGATTTTCTTTTTAATATAGACGCTCACTTTTAAAAATTTCCGTTTAACCTTAACCTTGAATTAATTAAACGTTTAGAAATCAATTGTAAGCGAAATAGAGTGTNTAACCTAATCTATTTTAGTATTGTTTTAATTATAAATAAAGGAAATTTTAATACACAACGATTTATAAACCTCTGTACAAAATTAAAAAAAAAAAGGAATAATATTGTACTTACGTGTAGTGATAGGTAATGAATCCAAAAAAAAGAACCAAATTTAAATTTTTATTCACATAAAATTAAAAACGATGCTGATATTCTGCAACTATCTTTTCCTCATGGGGGAAATATACGTTTTGGACACTTCACACAGTTAATTTGAGATATTTAGAAAACCACTTTATTTACTTGTTAATATACGGCGGGTCCTACTAGATGGGAATGAAACGGTTTTGTAAAAGTCTTCGTATACATAGTTATACCACCATGAATATTCATGGTTTTAATTTTCTTTTGCAAAATTTAAATTTATAACTTGAAGTTCATGACCGTAATTTCATATTGTTTGTATGCGTATCTGTTTTTCAATTCAACACTAACAATATGTTCTTCTAAGGTAACACTAGAATGTTTTGGAAAATATTGGAATTATACGCCTGTATTATGCACATAGACAATGTTGATTAATTGTAAAATGCAAAATAATTAATAATTTCATCAAATATTTATAAATTTTGCATGTGTGTATTAAGCATTTTTTTCTGATTTGTTTCACCCTGTATATACTAGTAACAATCATTTAACAAAGACAATGTTGGTGTTTTGTTAAACAAAAGCAGCTTTCTAATAATCACTCGAGTTCCTATTGTTTTTTTTAAATGTCAGATTCTGTAGTGACACACTGTATATTTATACCGGTATTTTATATATTAATATTTTTTGATTGATTTAGTAAGTACATAATATTTTCTGGTACTTTTTCGTCTTATTAAATTGATTCATTAGTTTTAGGGAAGTAAAAATTATAATTAAACGACCATAACGTATAAAATAAAATTTAATATCATTAATATATACACAGCTATTTACAGGTAATTCTTTTCGAGACCAGCAGTACAAACAAATTCGACGTTAAACGGTCCCCATTATAAATTATTTTACAAAAATTACAAGTCATTTTTTATGCTTAAGACAATAGGCTTTCCATTTTGCTTCCGCTTTAGGTATAAAAGAATCCTAAAAAATCCACTAACTTAAAAAAAACACACACTAACAAAATCGTCAACGTGATAGCACTAATTTAAAACATCTCATCTTTTAGAAACCAACATTTCATAACACTTTCTCTTCTATCTCCGCCTGTCTTTCGATCTGTCCCTGTTCTTAGACTCTTCTTCCCTATGTTTCGACTTTTTGTACTTCTCCTTTTCATCCCTACTCGCATATTTTTCCCTATCGTCCCTGTACTTTTCATCTCTGTACTTCTCCTCCCTATATTTATCTTCTCTGTCTTTTTCATATCGTTTGTCCCCCTTGTCGTGTCTGTCCTTCTTCTCGCCCTTCTCGTCGTATCTATCTCTATCCCTTTCCTCTTTAATCACGTACCTATCTCTATCGTATCGATCGTTTTTGTCGTATCGATCGATATATCGATCGTTCTTCAAGTCTTTCTCGTTGCTAATTGACCTTGACCTTCTTTTATCCCTGTAAATAACGAAATGAGACATCAAAACAATCGGCACCAAACAAATTAATTAAAAATTAAAAAATAACTAAAAATTTGTTTTGTCAAAAGACAAATAAAATCTCTTACCTTCCTTTCCTCGACTTGTTGTGGGGACTGTTACTGCGGGACCTGGAGTAGCTACCCCTTTTGTGTGTTTNAGAGCACTTGGATCCTTTCTTTTTTTGTAGGCGGTCATAAATCAACTTTTTTTTTTTTTTTTTCTCTATTGTTATCTGTAAGGCTAAAATGGTATTTCACGTTCCCTTATTTCTATCAAACGCAAATTAGTCTTCTCCTAGTAGTTCTTCAGTCCTTTTTCCATCCTTCTCTATATGATTCTACTTAAGATTTTTTAATTAAGTTTTAGTTCAGGTAATTGTTCTAAATATCTCCCTTCTATCCGCGCTTCTCATTTAATATGGCGACTACTACGTTCCGTTTATGGTCCTCCGGGGCTTTCTCTGTCTCGTATATGTGATTAAATAACCCCAACACACGATCTCTAACCCCTTGTCCTGCATGTTTTAAGATTGTAGTTTTCAGTATTTTTAGTACCCAATACTTTTTTCTTGCTTTTCTCTCAAACCGTACTTGGAAATAACAATGACTTATTGTAATAATTTTCGACTTTAAAGAAAAATTTAGATCCATATTTTAATACGCCCCTTAAATAAGGTTTTCACGAAAAACTAATGCATCCAATAGCATTCAGAGTAACCAAACCAAACCGAACCAAACCATAATGTAACCTAATCTATTTTAGTATTGTTTTAATTATAAATAAAGGAAATTTTAATACACAACGATTTATAAACCTCTGTACAAAATTAAAAAAAAAAAGGAATAATATTGTACTTACGTGTAGTGATAGGTAATGAATCCAAAAAAAAGAACCAAATTTAAATTTTTATTCACATAAAATTAAAAACGATGCTGATATTCTGCAACTATCTTTTCCTCATGGGGGAAATATACGTTTTGGACACTTCACACAGTTAATTTGAGATATTTAGAAAACCACTTTATTTACTTGTTAATATACGGCGGGTCCTACTAGATGGGAATGAAACGGTTTTGTAAAAGTCTTCGTATACATAGTTATACCACCATGAATATTCATGGTTTTAATTTTCTTTTGCAAAATTTAAATTTATAACTTGAAGTTCATGACCGTAATTTCATATTGTTTGTATGCGTATCTGTTTTTCAATTCAACACTAACAATATGTTCTTCTAAGGTAACACTAGAATGTTTTGGAAAATATTGGAATTATACGCCTGTATTATGCACAT